TTTGTGCATGATTCGGGAAGTTCTCGTGTTGTGTTTTTCACCTCCATCAATTCACTTATATTCCTTTCTATTTTCTCCATTCTCGTTAGCATTTCATCAAATCTTTTTTCAAGGTTCGTAGTTCCTTTGCATTGGGTTACAACATGTTCTTTTAGTTCACAGAAGTTTCTTACTACCCACCTTCTGAAGTCTGATTCTGTCATTTCATCGCACTCATTCTCCATCCAACCTTGTTCCCTTACTGGTGAGGAGTTGTGATCCCTTTTAGGAAGAGAGGTGTTCTGGTTTTGGGTGTTTTCATCCTTTTTGCACTGGTTTCTTCCCATCTTTATGGATTTATCCACCTGTTATCTTTGTAGTTGCTGCCTTTCAGATTGGGTCTCTGATTGGACATTCTGTTTGTTGAAGATGAAGTTATTTCTGTTTCTTGGTTTTCCTTCAGACAGTCTGGTCCCTCTGCTGTAGGTCTGCTGAGGTCCACTCCAGGCCCTGCTTGCCTGGGGATCACCTGTCGCAGCATCAGCACTTTCACTGGGAGCTACAATCCTGAACTGTTCCTAAGCAGCCATCTTGGATCCGCCTCCACAAATATTCTTTGAAATTTGTCTTATTTCAATTGAAAGTAATCAAGACTTTAAAATGAGTTTCAGACATTAGTTTAATCATTCTCATTATACACTTTTAGTACTTATAAATCATGCCACTTATTTAGTTAATTTTCTGTTCATAAAGGATATAAATTTGAGAAATTTCTATATTTTCAAGCTTTTTGTCTTTCAGTCCTATGCTTCCAACTTTATATTTTAAAACATTGCCCAAGCGTCCTCCACGTCAGGGATGCCAACCTCTTGTCTGTCCACTCCTTCCTCTTGCAAATCTCTGTTTTCCTGTGGGTCTTCTCTTTCTTGAAAAACACAGTGTTCCCTCCCTGCCAGCACTTTGAAATAATGGTTTCTTTGCTTGTGCTACTTTTATTGCTTTTCCATCCAAAAACTAAAAGTATTAAGCACAACCATCAGCAACACTGCCACATTTGAACTAATCATATTTTACAGACATTTTTACATCAACTGTGTTTACATTCTAGATATTTTCTCCTAAACAAACTTTATTTTTGCTGAAATGCCCACGTTGTGAACAGTGCAAAACCTGCAGCAATCACTGAGTCCATGCATTCTGTTAAGCAGTTCTTCCTATCTTGAAACGTCTTGTGCTATTTCTTGGCCCAGAATAGTTTCCCCAGTTTTTTGCACAGTTGCTTCCTTCCTAGTGTTCCAAAGTCAGCCACAATTTCCGAAACTGTAAGCTCCCCCTGAAAACCCTAAGTACCTTCTTTATTTCCCTTCTCAACACTTATCTGCATATAACACTTATTTTAATTTTTCTGTAATAAAACATGTGAGACAAGGCAATTTGGAAAAGACATCTACACAAATTAACCCTTCTAGAGCATGAAAACTGGGGGAAAATGGCCAAACATTACGATACATAAGTCAAAAGTATTTCCATACCTAGCATGAAACCTGAACCAAATCAACCACACCTTAAAATATGAGAGGATAAGGGTGAATAAAAATACACTGTCTGCTATGTACCAGGAAGTGAATTAAACAGAAGAGAAAGAAAATCAATTCAAAAAATTTAAAGATGCACTAAAGACAATTTGATGATCAAGTGACTAATACATGATGTGGTGAGCACAAAATTCCTATAATGGACACTGAGAAACATAAAATAGAAAATCTAAGTTGTTCTTAAAGGTAAATTGCCATTTGTCCAACATTTACACGGAAGAATAATACTCATATGGTCCAGAAAAACATATTGAGGATGGCATCAAGTATATCAGGAACTAAAAACAGATTGGGATAATGTTATAAAATAAAAAAGCTCCAGGGCATCTCCAATGGAATGATCTTGACTGCAACGTAAAGGAATTCAGTAGGAAAGAGAATGGCATAAAAGTTTAAAGCTGTAACAAATACAGAGCTTCTAGAATTTCAGTCTCCACAGGACAAGATGCCATTGTTTGGATCAAAGCATGTCCTAGAAGACAATGGAAAAATTAATAAGGAGGTATGCATGTTACCTAGTAAATAGGTATGCATGTCACGCTGGTTACAGGAGGAAAAAAAAAGTCTTTAGGAGACGGGCACAAGGATGGGGAAAAAATGTCAGTTACTTGTTCTGTTAGCCAACTTCAATGTTCTCGTATTATTTTCTATTTTCAAGTGCTTAACAATTCCTTAAATGTAACGGTCTTGTTTAAATGAACTTTCTCAAGAATGCATTTTCAGAAAATGGGAGAGGATCATTCCTTCTTGTGAGTCTGTCTAGATATCTACATACAGAAGATTTATTTTCTGTAAGTGTGTCTAGATGTCTATCCACAGTTTCTCTGTGCTATTGACATTTTACTATGAATTGGATGTAATTCCATTAATAGCCATTTAATAAACATGACATTTTTCTTATTTTCATGAGAGTTCCAAGTTTTAAAGCTGTTCAAAAGCTTTGCAAACCTATTTACACTCATATTGTAATAAACATATACAAATTGGATTACCATGAGGAAATTTACATATGTTCATTCCAATATCCTTCCAACTACACTTGTATTTATATGTCCAAGGAAGAGGATAGCTAAACCATTTCCATTCATATGTCATTATACTATTTTCAAAGTGTACTAGTACTAAAAATACCTAGATATGCTGTTAATTGAAGAACAGAGTTAGCATAGCACTAATAAGGGAAACTTACCTTTCCATTCAAATCTCTGGCAGCAGGCTTAGTATCTACAGGGTTCTCAAAAGTAATGAATTCAAACCCTCTTCACTTCCTGCTTCGATCTTTCAACAAAAGCACTAAAATATATGAAAACCTTTTCATTTATATAATGGACTTATGATAGTACTAGCTATCTGAATGTTACATCAAAAAACAAGCAAATTGCACTTCACATCCTTACTATGATTCTTAACACTACGCCACCCCTAGAGACAGCCTATTTTATTCCATTTCATTCCCTACCACCAAACAAATTTACTTTTGCTTGTATTGTGATAACATAGCTTGTGCATGCCTAACTGACTCCATCTTAGCCATGAGCCTGACATGCTCCGTTCTGCTTCTCCCTCCCTGCCTCGGCCCCCTCCAGGTGCATTCCTGGGTCACATTGCATTCAAAGCTTTGAATCCTTAAGAGTAGTTCACACTGTTCCCAGTACCTATAACCATTGTAACCACTCCCTGCTTGGCAAGTCTACCTCTACTGTCAATGCCCTCCTTGGTGACTGAGTGTATGGAAAGTTCCCTCTTCTACCTCCCTCAATGTTTGTATGCAAATACCCTTAGCAACCAACCATCCTGGGAACCTCCTGCCCCTGGTTACCAGCTTCCTTACTAACTTGCTTGTTCTGCTTCTGTAAAATTCTGCTTCAGCTAGGCTCCCCCTCCCCTACCTAAATCAAGGTATAAAGGGAAATCAAGCTCCTTTGTCGGGGCTGAAAGATTTTGAGGGTGAGCTGACTCTCAATCCCTGGCAAATAAAGGACTCTTAATTTGGAACTTAGAGAGTTGTGCTCCCCTTCTAACACACTCGGTTACAAAACTCGGTTATCCCATTGGCAGTACTGTGCAGGTGAACTTTACCACAGACCCTTCAACTGCTGCCATGAGAATATTCTGAATACCAAATAGAAACTTCAAAACAGGAGTTTAAAAACAAACAAAAAAAATTATGTAATCAATTACACATATGAAGTATATGTTTACTTTGGGGAAAAATACATATATGTTGGTTTTAAGGGTTACCTTCTGACACGGGACCATGTCTCCCAAATACTGCTTTTAGCACCTTTTCATTGGCTTCTCTAGTGAGCTGACCAATGAAAAGCTTGCCAGGGCGATCTGCTTCCATAATTTTGCTGTAAATGGTAAAAAAGTAAATCTATATTTAGATAACAATAAAAAGGTGAAAAGATTAAATTTTATTACATCCTTTGTTGAAAACTGATGTGAAATTCCCTTAAAGGGGCTGACCTCTTTTAATTTACCTTACTCCCTATATGAAAAATCTGTAACATAAAGAGCAAAAGGGGGAATGGCTTCAAGGATTAATGGTGCATTTCACCACATACCTGGGAAAAATTCTTTAGGAAAACTAGATAAGAGAGGCTATTCTAATTTTACAAAGTGGAAATACACAAGATTCACCAATTTAAATTGTTTTCCTTGAAAATTATATATTTATGAAGTACAATTTTTTTAAGAGGTAAGTTTCCTGTTGCCAATGTACTCTGCTCCCTGCAGCCTCCTCCACCCAGCCTCAAGTGATTCTGTCACATCTCAGCTTCGGTGTATGTGTTTTTAAATACATCCAGATTGCCCCATGTTGCTAGCAGATCTGGGTAGTTGTGTGTGTGTGTGTGTGTGTGTGCAGGAGTGTGTGCAGGGGTGTATGTGCTTGTGTGTGTCTTTAAATAGACGCAGGTTGTACCATGCTGATCAACTTTGAAACTCCTGGGCTCAATCACTTGAGCCCACTCAATCACATGTGCCAGCATGGTGCTACCAAAGTGATGGGTTTTCAAGGGTGAACTGCCATGCAAAACCTGATATTTTGATAAATGATTAAATTGAGCTACTTAAACTACATGCTTTCTTGGGGGACAACCTTTTAAATATTATACAATCTTTTAGTGATTTGAAATATACACTAATGAGATCGGGTATCCACAAACTCTGGCTTTCAGCCATAAGTATCTTTGGCCTTTCAGGGACCCAGCTGCAAAAGAAGTGGTGAAGCACTCTAAGTCTCTGAGCCCCACCTCCGGTGGGATCAGCAGAGGCTAGGAGCAGTACTCTGGCCTACGCATGCGAGAAATCTCAGTGGCAATCTCCTTATGAGAATGTAACTTCTGAGAATGACATTAGGTGCCACAGCTGCATGACACCGTCCTCCCTGTCACCCTGCTGCCCAACACTGCGCTCCACTCAGCCGCACCAAAACTGGCCCATCACGCTGTTCTGAGCAGAAGCCCCGCCCTACCCCGTGCCCCTTGGTAAGCTGCCGCCTCTCTGCTCCGCAGCAGGTCCACTAGCTGCCTTCTTCCCCTTACCAACCCCTTGTCTGTGGGAAAGCTGCCTTCCTCTAAGCCAGTCCCTGGTGCCAGAATGGCAACAGATTAAAGGACCCCCATTACGTTACTTGGGCTAGTCTCCAACTCGTGACCTCAAGTCAATCTTACACCTTCCCTTCCGAAAATGTTGGGATTACAGGAGTACCTCAGTTTGCCAGGTTAATACAAACCCTTAGGCGCATCTATTTGCTTCCGTTTTTGGCTATCTACCGCCACTTATCTCCATTACAAACACTTCTTCGATTTAAATTATTTACGGTACCAGAGATACATGAAACATCTTTCAAACACTGTCATAGAAGGAGGGAGACAATTACAGGTTTAAAAGAGGCAAATTTAAACTGATTATTCATGGTTCCAGACTTCTACGTACTCGAAAGTAATGCAATTTATGTGAAACTTTGCTAAGTCCTGTGAAGAAAATCGGAAATTTGAAATGTGCTAACTAAAAGTACAAGTTTTCTTGTTTTTCCCCTCACAGTACATAAGTACACTGCCTGTGTGTGTGAGTCAGGACCACATTCACAGAGAAAAACTGTTTCAGTAAAAAGTGCACAGGAAAACAATGTTACCCCAGGTCCACCTCCCACAAGTTGCCCTCTCATCGGACATGTCCAACAGTAACAGGAAGAATCCTCAAGAAATGTCAATGAATTTAACAAACCTGAGTTTCACACGAGCACTAAGGACGACCCCCTCTCTACCGTCCCCTCCCATAATTCAACACCCACACACTGAAAACCCCAGCCCCTTTCGTTGACAGCATCTGAACACCTCGCTGTGTTTGTATTCTTGCCGAGAGGCTAACCTGACCAGAGAAACAGAAATTACAGGCGCTTCTCAGTAGGACAAACAGCCTCTGGGTCACCCGGCCCTCAGGGTGTATGCACCTGGCTTTGGAACACCTCTGGCGCCACTGCCAGGTGAGAGGCCTGGAGCACAACTGTCCTGGAAAGATCCCCCCACAGCCCTACGGAAGTATCCAAAACAGCCTCTCTCGGCAGCCAATCAGTGCAACAGTGGGTGGGTGTCTTCCGGGGTGGGGCAGCGTGCAGAGGGGCATTGCCACATCCAGGTGTCCTGCAGCTCCACCCTCCTGGGGTAATCCAAGAGTGAAGAGCTGTCAGAGTTTCTGCCCAGTGGCTCTGGGTTCACGTGCAGGCCAGGCGGGCAGCCAGCCCTTTCGAATTGTGGCCATGGAAGTCTGACTGCCTAACTGCCATCATGACTGTGGCAGGCCATGGACCCACAGCCAACCCATGAAACATCTCACTTCCTTAGGCAGGCCAGGCAGGTGGTACTGAACGCTGCAGATCCAGAGGAGAGGGAAAGGGACGAGTTCTGGCTGCCGGGGCAAGGGCAGCAGTGGAGGAGTCTTGGGGGAAGTGAGTGGGAGGTGAGTGGGAGGAAAGCCACCTGGACCCTTGCTGCTGTGGAGTTTTTCTGCACTCTTGGCAGATCTAGGCGAATACAGACCCCAAGTGCCATGCATCCTCCCTAAGGATGCTGGACTCCCAGAAGCATTCCTCTCATGCTGGGTCCTAAGCCCACCAGAGGCCAGCTGCCAGGGTCACTCATGGGTGGACTGTGTACACGCTGTGCGCATGCAAGATACTGCATTGCTGACCCAGAAGTTCCTGCCAGCGGGCAACAGTGGCATGCACCGCTGCCGTCAGGGCTTTGCAAGTCCAGGGCCTTGCCCTGCATATTCTGTGCTGCTGGGCATAGCTGATCCCGCTGGGGCCCAGGGCCCCAAGGTGCATGCGTGGGACTGCAGCCCAGTGGGGCATCCCAGGATCCCTGGGTCCACGTAGCTTTAGCAACAGATTCTCAGCAGGGCAAGGCCCATGGGTTTTTCAAGGACTGGTCCCCACAGTGTAGGGGTTCCCTGGCCTGTGTTGAGCAGCAGAGGCAGGTGTCTGTCAGAGGCCGGAGGAGGGTATTGTGTTCAGCCTGGAAGTAGGAGAGGGTGACAAGTGCACAGAGCCAGGGTGGGGGGAGTGTGGGGGGTCGGCCTTGTGGAGGGAGGTGGTGCTGGTGGTGGACAACATCATGCAGTAGTGGAGGTGGTGGCAAAGGAGGAGGCTGACATGCAGCAGCAGGAGGAGGACCAGGGGGCACAGTGTATCCCTGGCCCTAGCACTCCTGGGCCAGATACAGACTCGCTGAAGACACTTGAGTTGGAGATTGGCTCCAGATATTTTGGACCAGAGCACTATGTTTGCAACTGCCCATTTGGGATGGCTGGCAGCAGGGGGTGAGCTCAGGCTTCTCAAGGCAGACCTTGCCAGAGCCAGGCCTAACCTTGGATAACCCCCAGCCCTCCTAAAAGCACAATACATGTATGTTTTAAGACATTTATCTTGATGATTGGTGAGAGGGTGGTGATTGAAACCAGCTCATTTCCCATATACCACTGAGGCCTGCTCAGCTTTGCTCAAGAGTATTCTTGACCCTGTAGTAGGAGCTCCTATGTGAATCAAGCCTTTTCAAGAGTTTCAGGTGGAAAGGCAAGGTATCTCAGGTTGGACCCAATGTTAAAATTTGAACCAGGCAAATTCTCATTAGAGACAAGGGACCAAAGACGGTGCCGATGGAATCTAATGTCTTTTGATGTTGACTTCAATCTAGTATAGCTCTTGTGGAGCCATTTAACTGTAACATTGGACCTGGGGAAGGCAGTGCACCCTCTGAAATTAGTGCTCCAAAGATTTGGATTTGATTTCCAGCCCTGTGCCACTCAGTCAGCCACTCACTTTCAAGTGACAAGCCTTAGGGCGGTGATTTTCTGTCTCTGCTTCTCAATTTCTACCCAGGGATTTCTGTGGGCCTTCAGGCACATTGGGAAATGATCCCTTTTCCAGCTTATTGCCTGGTTTGTTGAGTATGCTTGTCAATCTAGACTTTCCTACACCTATGGTTTTGGATTAACTCTGTTACCTCTTCCAGAAATTAACAGAGAAAATTGACAGTTGATTGACAAGAATGAGAATCTGTTCTAAAGAATTCAAATATAACTGAATCCTTTATTACTAAAAGAATGCTCAACTGAAGTGGACACATATCACTCATTTTGACTTCATTAGCTATAGCACTTAGAGACAACTTTTTCAAAATACGCAGCTAAAACTGTCCCTGCTTTAAGTGCTAGACAAGTTTTTTAAAATTCACATCTATAAGTCTTCCTGCTTTCAGTGCTTTAGTTGTGTATTTTGGAAAATTGTGTGATCTGCAATAAAAAGTTTGTTTTTTTGTTACTTTTGGTCCCCAGGAGAAATTTGAGTCCTTTTCAGAGATCATTGGAGACACATGATTCCTTTGCAGGCCTCTAGGCTGCCTCTGAGGGTGAAATGACAGTGTGAAACACTTTCGGATGTGGCCTAGGTTTTGGTTATTACAAATAAAACTGCTATGAACATGCATACACAAGGTTATAAGGTTAAAGGAGCGCAGTTACAGAAAGAATATTTTCTTTCAGAACTTTGGTGTAGAATGGCTTAATCAAATGATAAGTGTATGTTTGACTATTTAAGAAAATGCCAAAATATTTCATGAAGTAGCTGTATCATTGCACATTCCCACTAACGTTTTCTCCATAGACAAACCCTCCAAAGGCCTGGATGGAAAACCTCTCTGTAAATATTTCAGAATTCATGTGAGGGAGGGAGACTGGATCTGGTACTCTTGGTAAACCCTGTTCCTAGTATGACACCTCACTTCAGCTTTTACTGTGCCTCCACAACCTGGATTCTGACACTTTTTGACCCAGTTCCTACAGAGAAGAAATTAATTATCTCCTGAGACATCAAAAAGAGGAAATTACTTGGTTGCATGAAGTCAGAGAAAGAGACACAGAGGCCAGTTGTCCCTTTACAGATTTCTAGGCAATGCTTCATTTTCAGTGTCATGATTCCTAACCCCCTATAACTTCAGAAATACCTGGCATCTCCGATGTCTGAAATTTTCCAGGATTCTAAAAGATGAGTTAGCTTATTTCTCATTGGAATCCTTGCCTAGCTTCCCTTTACAGATTTCTAGGCAATGCTTCATTTTCAGTGTCATGATTCCTAACCCCCTATAACTTCAGAAATACCTGGCATCTCCGATGTCTGAAATTTTCCAGGATTCTAAAAGATGAGTTAGCTTATTTCTCATTGGAATCCTTGCCTAGCTTCCCTTTACAGATTTCTAGGCAATGCTTCATTTTCAGTGTCATGATTCCTAACCCCCTATAACTTCAGAAATACCTGGCATCTCTGATGTCTGAAATTTTCCAGGATTCTAAAAGATGAGTTATCTTATTTCTCATTGGAATCCTTGCCTAGCTTCCACTTAGGCAACACCTTTCTCTTTTCTGTAAAGTCAGCTATCACTTAGCAATTTTTCCTCTTCCAAAAGTTGATTAACTTATCTTGCTCTGTCACTTAATGTGGTATTATATTTCTCTTATTGCTTAGCTGACACTTCAGCAATGTTTGGAGAGGGAGCAGACATAAACAACTGAATTGTTACAGTGATGGAAAATAAAACTGCAAAACCCTTTCATGCATATTGGTTATTAGACTTTGCTACTCCAAGTCTCCTGCCCCTTCTAAGATCTCTGAATGTCTCCCATGATTTAGCAGCTAATGGGGTAATGTCTTGTGTAACAGGGGGGCTTCTAGGACCCTGCTCTAGAACTTACCTCTGTTTATTTTGATTGAGTGGCATGTGTTCTGATTGATCTGTAAGTTTCTTGAGTAGTCAGCATCTGGTTCTGGTTGATCCTGTCCATAATATGCTATGCTAATAATTTTGATATCACTCTTGAATAAAGGAAATCTAACCCATATCATCTGAGGAGGAATTGAATGAAATGATGTATGAGGTTAAGAGAGCAGTGTTAGGAAGGATATTTTAATTATTTTAAAATACAGTATGACTTAGTGACATGTTCAAAAAAGTCATAGATTTAGATCTAGGGCAGAATTAATTTCAATATGAACATGAACCTTCTAAAGGTTAAATCTTATCAAAGTTCAAATGAGCAATTTTATTTTTTCCCTAACCTTGGGAAGAATAATGTAGCTACAATTATATCTATCTCTAATATGTTATATACAACATAATATATGATTTTAAAATATAACATATATTCTATGTTTAGACTATAAAAGCAATACAGCCTTTTACAGCAGTGCATGCTGAAAAACTTAGCATGGTGGTTTATGTCTGTAATCCCAGCACTTTGGGAAGCCGAGGTGGGTAGATTACTTTAGCCCATGATTTTGAGTGGGCAACACGGTGAATCCCTGTCTCTACTAAAATACAAAATAATAATAAAAATTAGGTGGGTGTGGCAGCCTGCGCCTATAATCTGAGCTACTCAGGAGACTGAGGCACAAGAATTGCTTGAGCCTGGGAGGTGGAGGTTGCAGTGAGCTGAGATCATGCCACTGCACTCCAGCCTGGGCGACAGAGTGAGACTGTCTATCA